ACACAACTAATTAAAAGCAAACATCAATGAACAACACAACGCTAAAACTGTATCTTAAATATTCCTTTCATACTGCATATTGCCTCCTTTGGCTTTTTGTAGAAAGCTTAAATAATTATCAAAGGAAGCCTATGCTTCTTTCATTTCAGAAAAACAAACAAACAAACCGTAAGCTTAGAAGAAATATAATTAATTTGATAGAGGTGCTTCCATTTACAGCTGTCTTCCACTAAACATCCAGTTGTGGTTTTCATTACAAGCTTACAGGCTCAAATGCAAACTAATTCAAAACAAGGAATTCATGCATAGTTGATGATATATACAGGTGGAAGAAGTGATGAAACATGCATTGTGTATTACAATGAAAACCCTGCTTCTGATGTAAAATTGCAACATGTACAAAAGCACAGAGCTTGCATGTTGATGGAATAAATACATGTTATATTATTTTGGACCACTGGAATTAGGAATAAATGAGCATAATTCAGGAAAAAGGGATTGATGTTCAATACCACCTTATTAAAAATTGAGTGTTTTGCTTCAGTTATATGAAGAACTTTGACTAAGTTATCATTAAAAATCTGGGGTTTAATCAACACTGTTTCTTGTGAAAGATGACAAATGCTTATGGCAGGAGTAGTTAGTAATCATTCCACATGCCTTTATTATCAATACATATTTCTTTAGTTGTACAAGAGTTATGAAACTGCAGTAAGGAATTTCTTGTTGTCATCCAGGGCAGCGTTTCTCAACTTTAGCAACTTTTAAGACAGATGGATTTCAAAAATTAATAAAATACATGATAGGATGATGAAGTGAAAGAAACTGTGGATGAGAAAAAAACACATGCAAGGAAATGATTACTGAAAAATATGAGAAAGAGAGAAAGATAATGCATAGTAAGCATATGGGAAAAATTAGCTACTAATGTCAAGGACAGCAAGAAAGATAAGACTAAAAAACAGAGTAAATGCAAACCAATTTTTGTAATAATGTGTTAATCAGTATTTAATTAGGGAGGATAATATGTTTATATATGTTGGGGTTTTTTGATGCACCTTTTTAAATGTCTTAATTGTTTTGTGTTTTTTTCTTTTTTTGGATTTTTTGGAGTTTTGAATTTTAACTTTGTCTTGAATAAAATAAAAACAGATACAGAAACTTTTTTGCAGAACTTTTAAAAAAAAGGTAAGAGAGCAAAGAGGAGTAAACAAGGAGTCTTCAGCAGAGTGAGTCAAATTAAAAACAGAAGTGATTAAATGATTTGAAACAAAACTAAAATGAGTGAATGCTGAATGGACTATTTAAAATTTTTCTATAGGAATTACAGAGACATGATGAAGAATAAAATGGTAATAATGTTATCACTCAACGTTCAAGACAAATGATGGAACCAAAAATAAATACTGTGAGAAATAAAAAGATTCTAAGTATGGATTATGGAGAGATGGGTGGCAAATAAATTTAATAAATGATAATATAACAATTGGAGAAGTGTTCAAAATATGGATGTTATCTTCTGGAGTATTTCTGTAACTTTATTATACTTTATTCATTAAACATGAAACTCAGTCAACTGAATATTTAAAAATGTGTCACAAATATTATTGACTGGCACTTATACAGGTTGCTGCCAGCATCCTAGGTTATTTGTTTATTATTATTATTATTATTATTATTATTATCATTATTATTATTATTATTATTGTTGTTGTTGTTGTTGTCATTGTTATTATTGTTATCATTATTGTTGTATATCTAGTTGGGATTTTTTAAAATTTATTTTTAAACATTTTATTAGGTTATAAAATAAAATACAAAATACAATACAAATTCTTTTCTGTAACTTTGTTCATGCGTTTCTGATGACTGCATTTATTTTTAATTGGAAAGCACACCATTATTGTTCCTCAATACCAAGAGTGTTACAAACGTAAACAAAAAGCCACAGGAAAATAAATCTATTAAATTTGCCTGAGAAGCTCTTTGGCGGAATTCTGATCGAACAGGTAGAAACAATGGGAGTGAACAACATTTGGAAACACAATGTAGTTTTATGTTAGTTGAGTGGTGGGCAGAACAGACATCTGTTTTTGGGGAGGTCGCTAAGAGATGAATTTGAGAAAATTTAGAGTACAGGGGCCCCTCAGTATTCAGCCGCTTCAAAACTCCTCAAATTTACTTGATGCATTTTGATGCGAAAATGTTTTTCAGGCAGTTTCTTTGGTATTCAGCGGCCTGCAAAAGGAAGTGGGAGACAGCCGCAGAGAGCAGACAGGAAGTCGGCCATGCTGGAAAAATCCCTGACAGGAAAAATGGCAGGTAGAACGTTTTTTTCCTGGCCAAAACAAAGCATCGTGTGGTAAGTCCCCTGGTTGGTTGGTTTGATTTTAGTATCCATTATAGCCTCCCACTGAGGCACCACTGTACTTTAGTATAGTATTTGATATTTTTTTAAAAAACGCGTATGATAAAATAAATAGGCCTTTTGAGTTTATGGAATGTTTTGTCCGGGGACTGGTTGCTGAATAAGATGTAGCAGGTATACAATGTAAATAAACACTTGTGAGGATAAATAGAATACTTAATAACTGGTTTGGTGTGGTAAGATAATGATGTGGGGCGTCCTCTTGGTTGTTTTAATGTATTTATGGATAAACACTTGGAAAGTTGTGATGATTCGGAGACCTTTTTTTTTGGGTTTTTTTGGTAGGGCTATACCTGCGTGTATAATTTTATAGGTAGACGATGCCATGTTGTTGGATGGGAACCTGAATGATTTGAAGTACAGATCACCTCTGTGTAGGAAAAGTGAATTGATAAAGAGAAAAGGCCAAGGAATCAGTGGTTGGATGAAGCTAATGATTTAAAAAATAATACAGTGGATAAATCAATGTACAGACATGGCAGAATTAAGACTAGATTGCAATAGGAGAAAGATATGGAGAGTTATAGTAAATATGTTGGTGTAAACTGAGGTAAACTGTATTTCCTTTTCTTTCCTTTTTTAAGTTTTATGCTTTTAATTTTTTTCATTTACTATCCACTACTCTTTGTGTACTCTGCATATTTTGTTTTTTTTATTAAAAGATAATGTGAAGGAAATGGATAGACTCAGGGAGGATGATATTTGATTGAGACCATGATCTGTTATACAGGCATGTTTAATATCACTTGTCACCTTTGACACAGATTACTTTTTTGATAAAGAATAATTATTTGAAGTAGTTGTCGCAATCAAGTAGGGTATTTATCTCTAGAATTATAAACACATTTCTCATGAGCTGAATAGAAAATATGACCTAAACGTCCAACTGGGATTAATCACAAGTAAAATATTAACAAGTAGTTGATCCAATAATTGGCTAAAATTAAAAATGTTGCCTGAAAAACTGAATGAATGAATGAAATAGAGGGATAACAAGGGAAAATTGTTTAGATCATTCTTCTCCCAGGAAGTCCCTCTTTCATTGTGGAAAGTATGGAGAAGACCATCCCAAATGATAGAATAACAGAGTTGGAAGGGACCTTGTAGGTCATCTAGTCCAATCCACTGCCCAAGCAGGAGACCCTACACCATTTCTGACAGATAACAGTCTAGTCTCTTCTTGAAAGCTTCCAGTGATGAAGCTCCCACAACTTCTGATATTATAGTATTTAATATAATATAATTCCATGTTATGGAACATCTGTTGCCTCTTCTCTGAAGAGGTGAGGTAAACTAGGCCATAAGATGAGCTATGAGGTCAAATGGGATGGTACTTCAAGAGAAAAATGCGGCCACAAGTGTGCCCTGGTAGTGGCCCAAGACATAATGGCAGGACATTTTAGCTGGGTTGCGGATGTCCCTACGTCACATGAGGTGGCAACCATGGTGAGATCCAAGGCTGATCCAAAAGAAAGAACACGATCGGATTGAAGGACACCAATGAGCTCAGAGAGGTTCCAAGACCCCACAGTTCAGTCCTGAGCTACAAATATTCTTTTCTGTTGGTAGACATGGCAAAGACGGGTTCTACAAAGACTTGACTCCACGCACAACTGACCTAATCTAGCCATAAATAAGGTAGCACCTTCCATAAGACTGGACAGTGGATGATTCCTGTCTTTGCACTCCTCCTTACATTGGAAATCCATGGAGAGAAGTCCAGGCTAGCCTTCAGCACCAACGAGTCAATCAAAGCCATACCCTTGGTGGTCTTCTGCCACCCAACCCCAGAAGCCTTCATTTCTGAGACCTCCCAACCACTACTGCCAACCTGGGACAACCCCTCCCCCCACCCTCCTTGCAACCCGAGCCCTCCCCCAGGGGAGGGGAGGGGAACCCCGAATATCCAGCATGCATCTGTACCCCTGGAGCTCCTCCCACCCGATCAACCCCTCCCACTCTCCTTGCCTTGCAAGGTTCGACAGCCCCCCTCCCACCCAATACCACCCCCGCCCTCCCAGAAGAGGAAGAGGAAGAAGAAGAAGAAGCAGAGTTTGGTGCCAGCCAAGACTTCGGCCAGGCGCAGCTTCCCCTTCGGCCACTTCACCTGGACTTTTTCCGCCCCGGGGAAAGCGCCCGTCCGGGGTCGTCCAGGCTCCCCTCCAGCTCTTGTTGCCCCCTCCCCATCCCGGGATCTGCCCCCGCCCCACTCCGCGCCCCAGCCTCTTCCCCCCTCCCCCCCGACGGGAAGTGTGGGGAGGGGAAGAGTAGCAGCAGAGGGAGGGGAGGGCTCCATCGCTCCCTCTCTTCCTCCGGCTCTGCCTTTTTCGCCTCCTCTGCAACTCCGACGAAGAGACCCCGCTCGCGGAACAGCCGCCCCCAGCTGCCCGCAGCCCCAGCACCCCCCCCACCCCGCCAGCCGCCTCGGCCGGGGCTCGATCTCGCCCTAAGCCGCCCTGCCTCCCTTCCCTTCCCCTCCCTTTTCCTTGCCCGCCTCCCGTCGCCGGCTGGCTGGCTGGCTGGCTGCCCGCCCTCGGGGAGAAGCCCGGCCAAGCTCCGCCGGGCGACGTACCTCGTAAAGGTCCCCCGAAGCCATGCTGGGCTGGGGAGAAAAAAAAAAGGGGGGGGGCGGGTTGGATGGGCAGCAGCGGGGCTCTCCTGGGCGCCGCTCTCCTCGCCGCGGCTGGCTGGCTGGCTGGCTGGCTGGCTCTGCGTGGGCTTGCTGGCGGGTGGTGGGTGCGAGGGTGTGCGTGTGTGTCTTTTCCCCCACTCGCTCGCCGACCCGAGCGGAAAGAAGAAGAAGAAGAAGAAAAAAAGAAGAAGCAAAAACAAAAAAAACAAACAAAACAACCACCCGACAACAACTGTGCCGCCGTGCAGAATGACAGGCTTTGGGACTCCTGTGCGCAGAATCGGAGGCGAAGGCAGAGGGCGAGAGGCAGCAGGCAGGCAAGGCTGGCAGGCTGGCGTAACCGGGAGCAGCGGCGGCGGCGGGGAAGCAGAGAGCAGCGCTCCGGCGGTGCCGTGTGTGTGCGTGTGTGTGTGTGTGTGTTGTGTGTCTGTGTGTGTGTGTGTGAGCCAGGGAGGGTAAAAGGCGCGCCCTCGCGCGCGCGCGCGCGCGTGAGACGCTGCCTTCAGGAACCTCCCCACCACCCACCACCACCCCCAGCCCAGGCGACACAGGCGGGGTGGGTGGGGAGGGCGGGGGGGCGACGGGATTAAAAAAGGGAGGCGGGTTCTCCCGCAGCCCTCGCCGCCGCCCCCCTCCCCCCCCTCCAGAGCCCGGGCAAAGTACCCACCTCCACCCCGCACCTGGGGCCACTTTGGACGCCCGGGGCGGTCCTGGGCAGCCTTGACTCGCCCCACGGAGCTGGGGTGAGGGTGGTGTGGTGGATGGGTTTGTTGGCTTTTTTGGGGGTGGGGGAAGGGGGCCTGTGGAAAGTCTGCAGGATCTGCCGAGGGTCTCTTTCTGGATGCTGTGGTTGCCCACGCTGCCCCCCCCTCCCCAGCCTAAGCTCGCCTTGCTGAAAGAAATCCCTCTGCACCTGAAGGAGGAGAAGGAAGGAGGAGGAGGAGAGAGAAGGAGAAGAAGAGGAGGATTAGGAGAAAGAAATGAGAAGAAGAGGAGGATTAGGAGAAAGAAATGAGAAGAAGAGGCGGGGAAGAAGAAGAAGAAGAAGAAGAAGAAGAAGAAGAAGAAGAAGAAGAAGAAGAAGAAGAAGAAGAAGAAGAAGAAAGTCTTGGGGTGGGCTTCCAAATGAGGAGCCATATGTAGGCATCCACACACAACCTCCAGTGCCACCAGTGTGGGTGAAGTCTTGGCTTTTTTCAGATATGGGGGAGGTCCTCTTTGTTCTTCCTCAAGATCTTCTCTTATGGGGTAGAAGAGGTGAACGTGAGGATTCCTGCCGTTCCAGAAGGATGTGCCTTATCGAGGGTCCAGGTGGCATCTTCTAGGCTTCACTCTGCAGGTTTCACCAGCATGGTGGGAAATGAAGCAGAGGCTGAGTCTGCTTGAAAGCATTTTGAATCAACAGAAATGTTGTAGGTCAGAGCAACCTGTTGGATGATCTCACCTAGGTTGGTCCCAATGAGTCAGGAGTAACTCTTCCAAATTTTGTAATAAACCTTACCTGATGTGGTCTGGCATCAGGGACCAGAATGTACACCTAGACAGAGTCCAACTTCCCCTGAGGGAATTCTGAGAGTGGAGGTCATTTTACACTGTTCTAGCCATGCTTGAAGTCAGAAAGAAGAACCATAATTTCTCTGATAAATTGCTAGAAAACTCTCAAATGTTCAGCCAGATTCTACTTTAAGCCAATTTTTCTACTTTTGGATCACCTTCTAGGTGACATCCCTTCAGATTTTTGGAGTGTGGTATCTTATCTCCACTCCTTTTGAAGAATGAACATGCTCAGCTCCCTCACAGCTTCTAACCGTTTCTAACCTTAGTTACCACTGTTTTGTAACCAGCTGCAATTTCTTTCAAGTGTTCTAAGGACAGTTTGAGCAATTGATCTTGGAACTTTTTCCAGGGTCAAAATGTATGCCTCTTGACTTGGGTTAAAACTTTTTCGCATCTGGGACATAGATATCTCACCTGCGACAAAATTTGGAATGCTGCATCTAGTTCTGGTCACCAGAAGAGCAACAAGATGAAGAGAGGTCTAGAAGCTATAGTGTACAATGAATGATTGAGGGAACTAGGTATGTCTAGTCCAATGAAGAGAAGGGCCAGGGGTGATATGATAACAGTCTTCCAGTACTTGAGGGGCTGTCACAGAGAAGAAGGGGTTGACCTATTCTCCAAAGCAAGGAGAAGAAGTGATGGATGATAGATCTTTAGAAGCGAGCCAAATGAGAATTAAGGAGAAATTTCCTCACAGAACAATTAATCAGTGGAATGGGTTGCCTGTAGAAGTTGTGGATGCTAGAAGTTCTCAAGAAAAGACTGGACAGCTATTGTCCAGAATGATTTAGAGTCTCCTGGTTGAGCAGGGAGTTGAAATAAAAGACCTCCAAGATTCCTACCAATCCTATTGTTCTCTGTTCATGCTTGTCTTTGCTTCCTGAAACTCAACTACTTCATTCACAGTTACCTCATAAGTGTACCCTGCCAAGCCCCTGAAATGTTTCACTAATTCAAAAGAAAAGCACATTTTCATCTGCTCCTTTTGATGATTTTATGCATCATCAATCCAACTAATAGAAATGATCCAAATGCCGAGAAGAGAATGCCTTCAATCAATGAAGTAAATAAATGTGAATAGCAATCCCTGGCTTAGCAATTCAAGCCATGAAGATAGCCAAAAGATTGTTGCCATTCCTGCAGTGAAATTCCTTCAAATTTCATAAAAAGTTGATTCCATCTGGATTACAGTAAAAATATTCTGGAATCCTTCCCACCTCACAGCTGAAGCAAAGAATGAAAAAACGACACCAGACAACTACTTTGCCTGAAAAGATGAGATCTAAAGTTCTAGTGAGTTTTCCTTCTTCAGGTTTTTTTTTTTTAGATTTTATCAATACAACTGGGACTGAATTTATTACTATTTCTATTAGTAGTAGTAGTATTTGAATTACACATTCCTGGGGAGACCAGTTTAGAGTGAAAAACAGGGTTTCGTATTCAGTATACTCTTTCCACCTCATAACCAAGAATATGCAAAAGCATTCTACAGCACCCACCAGAATTTCACTGAAAAGCTCTTCCCTTTTTGAAAGAATATTCAAAAATAAAATACCTTTCTAGCACTGATGATGTTACCTAGCTGTATAATGACATCCTTGCAAGAAAACAACCAAGCCCAGAGAGCACCAAGGACCCCACAACGTTTTTTTCATTAAATTGACATAGTAAGTAAAACAGATAGGAATTTTTTTTTCTGTAGCACACTTGTTATATTGAGGCTAAAACACCCAACCAAAATTAACACTTCCTCTTCCCCTGCCTTCTCTTGTCTTCCATCAATAAGTAACAAACTAAGCAGGCTGAAAATTGAGTCTCAATTATTTTTTTTATTTTAAATTTATTTGGTGTGCATGCTGCTAAACCCAGTAGACTCTCTATGGTTTACAAAGACAGACATTGGTGGTAGTAGCATTCATCTATTTTATTATTATTAAATCAATTTATATTGTTTCCCAATTGATAAGTAGCTCAGGGAAGGGTCACAAATAAAAACAATGCATAACAACTCAAAGAAACATTAAAAACAAACAAATATATTTTAAAAAATGTAAGAAAGCTTTTAAGAGAAATATACATGAAAACAAACAGAGCTGGTTTAATCTAGTGGTTAAGATACTAGGCCAGAAACTAGGAGGCGGTGAGTTCTAGGCCAGCCTTAGACATGAAAGCCGGTTGGGTGACCTTGGGTTGGTCCTTCAGTCTCAGTCCAACCCACCTCATAGTGCTGATGCTGTGGAGAAAATAGGAGGAGGAAGGAGTATTAGATATGTTCACCACTCTGGGTGAGTTATACAAATAATAAAGGCAGGATATAAATAAATATTTAAATAATTGAATATTTCACCCAAGTCAACTTTATCCAACCCAGATCAATCAGGATGGATACAACCTCTTGAGTCAGTGCCTGGGGAATAAGCTAGGTCTTATGAGTCTTTTGAAAGGTAGGTAGGGTTCAGGATCATCCATCTCAGGAGAACTGCTAACCACAGGGCAGAGTCCCATCAGATGACATTGGTTAACGGATGGGATCTGAACCATGTCCATCCCATCTGATCTTATGAGTCAGGCAAAAGTAATCAGAGAGAGGCAATCTGCAAATAACCCGGGCCTGCATCAGGAAACTCTTAGTCACAACTAGCATCTTGAATTTCATGGCAAAGAGGAAGTAGATTGGTAGAGTGTAGAACACAGAACAGAGTTGGAAGGGACCTCAGGGGGCTTCTAGTCCACCCCCCTGCTCAAGCAGGAGACCTTATAACAGGGATCCTCAAACTTTTTAAACAGAGGGCCAATTCACGGTCCCTCAGGCTGTTGGGGGGCAGACTGGCTGGGTGGGCATGACTAGGGGGCCATGTGACTGGATGGGCATGGCTAGGTGGTCATGTGGGCCTTTTTTTGGCAGGCAGAGTGGTACTGGTGGCCGGGGAGGCCAAAAACAGGCACATTTTATTCTCAGACACTCTTGAGATCCCAACCTTGTGAAAAGAAGGTACAAGACCAACTGTCCCATAAGTGGTGGATTTATTGGTCTACCTTGGAAAGGCTGCTTTCACCATAATTGAGGATCATAGGAACCATAACTATGAAGAACTGGAGGATGGACTCTCTCATTTCCCTTTCTTCTCTTTCCCCGCTCCTTTCCCTTAATGACTGGTTGACATTACTCTGCAAGCTCATTTTAGAAACCTTAAAACTGAAAGGTGGGATATAAATGTGACCGGTGAATTTGCATTTTGTGCCCAGCCTCTATCCACCATACATTACTCATATAGCCTTGGAGACCAAGCTTTGAATACAGCTTTGATTTATAAAATTTCCATTTCTGAACAATTATGCTGGAATATCACCATGACAGAGATCCAGTACCCAAGCTAATAAAATTAATCTTCCCTATTAATACATACATGAATCTCTACAGACAAATGGAACAGTCATGAATGGCCATGGCTATTACTGGCTTTTTTTCAAGATGAAGTTCATA